TAAAAAAAAAAAAAAAAAAAAAAAAAAAAAAATTTCTAAGTCTAGAGAAAAAAGCATAGAGAAGCAGAATACTAAAATTCCCAATAAATAGAAAACTATGTTATCTAAATAATTGTGGAACTTTATATAGTGGAAATAGTGGCCTGCCCCTAGTATATTTCATTAAGATAATAACCTTTTCCAAATAGAATGCCATGGACAGATATGTTGGACATTGCCCATTGTGTAAAACTATATCTCAGAGACATAGTAGTAGTTAAATCATGTTGCTAGATACTAGGAAGGGATCTGTTCAATCCATTCTTAGACTTGAAAGAGTTTTTGACCATCAACCCAGTAAAGCATGGATAAGAATAAAGAGAAGAATAATATTTCTTCATTGATGTTAAATCTGACACCTTCCCCTAGTAGGATAAGTAAGTAGAGTTAAAGATCGGATAAGTAAAAATACTGAAAGAGAAATGAAATAGTATTTTCCGGACTCAGAGGTAGAATATTTATCTGGGAGAATATATCTCAGAGGGAGAATTATCTAATTATGTTCTTCCTGAAACCACTGGAAAATAGTTTTAACATTTTAGTAGCAAGCAAGGCAGTATGGGACAGTGAAATAAGGTGTGTGTTTTATGTATTGTAAATACTTCTGCTTCTTATAAAAGAACTGCATATAGGAATTGATCTTCAACACAGTGGTGGAACAGGTTGACAGACGTGTCTCCCCCTCAGAGCTTTTAGAATGTGCTAGTCTTCCACTCATGCTGACTCAGTGTGCTAGCACACATTCTAGGAAGAGCCAACCAGATTCCTTCATTAAGGATTAACATAGATGATAGGAAACATTAGAGATCTTAGTCCAATATCAGAAAAAGTATAAAACAAAAGCCTGCACATTCTTAAGAGTCATTTTTTTTTCCACCTCAGATAGAAAATCTCTTAAAATGCATTTATCTTCTGAATTCAACTTTACTTGAAACAAGAAAACATGTAAAAAATTGACAACATGAGGTATACGTGAGAAGCTCATAAACATATTACAGAAAAAGCATGAAATACATCAAAATATATTTAGAAAATAATTAAAATCCAACTCAATAATTACAGGTATCTCAGAGGTAAAAAGTGTAATAGTTTTCACAGAAACAACCAAAAATATAATTTAAATATTTTATTGTGTTATAAAGGCAAAATCAATGAAAAGGTAGTCATGAGTCTTTGAAAAGTATCTGAATATGTTTAAAAAACATTGAAGCAGAAATAAAAATGACTTAATTATAAAGGATCAAAAATTAGATGAGCTTTACACATCCCATCTGCATTATAAAAAGCCAAAGGCAATGGAATCAATACCACAGTATTGATTTTAAGGGAAAATGGTATGATTAAAAATGTTTTACCTAAGTAAACTCTTCTTCATGTGTAAAGCAGAAAGATATTCTAGATGGAGTATGAGTTCAAAAGTGACCAATTTTTCTAATAAACACTTATAACATTTATCTAAAATTAGACATAAACCAAAATAAATGTATAAACAATGAAGCTTTTGTAGTATAAAAGTCTAAAAATTATTCCTTTAGGTGGTCTGGCTAACATGTATAAGAATGCACCAGAATTGTGGTATAACAACTACATTCTGCCCTACAAGGGTTAACTTTTCCCTATAGTTAATAATCTTCCTTCCTCTGCTTCTGATCCTTGCCATGTTTTAATATTTGTGTCACAGTTCTTAATCAAGACTTAATTTTTAATTTATTAGTCTATCTGAAAGAGTGTTTTATTATTTTTTCCTAGTACTTGGAACAATAGTTAATATTTATTACATTTTATAACATCTAAAAAGACCTGGGAAAAGGCAAGAAACATACTTAAAAAATTTTGAATGTTTTATGTTGTAATATGCAAACCTGTGTAAAAAATGCATAGAATTAAAACTAAAATTGAATTATCTAAGCTATTAAGTTTCTTAAATTGGAAGATAAACTCCCCAGAAGGATTTGTATCTGATATTAGGCATATCTTTATTTTCCTATGTAGAAACTTTGAGCAGTGTGTTAGCTAGATTTAAGTTCAGTTTGATCACTTGGAAAATTAGAATAACTAGTGTCAAAATGCTTAAAATAGACTGTAAGGTGCACAAACATGGCATCTTTGATTACCACTTTAATATTTTCATTTATATTTTCTATATTTTCAATGCATGTATATTGTACATTTTCTACATGTTCAATATATGTAAGTTCTTTATTAATGTATTCTAAAATAACATTTTTATTTTTATAATCACAAGTTTATAAAAGTATTAATAGCAAAAAATGATTAGAATTATTTATAGAGATTGTCCTTGCATTGTGGGACTATAAGTAAGTTTGCTTTTTGAACTATTTTGTATTTTCCAATTTTCTTTTTTTTTTTATTAATGTAATGCTAGTTTACAATGCTGTATATGGTTTTGGGTAGAGGTTCACATCTTTTCAGATGTATGTTATCACAATATGGTTACCATCCAAGCACTCATAATCTTCCACTTCAGTCTATTAGGCCACTTCCATTCTTTGTTTTCCTTTCAGTATTCTCAGTTCTTCAGTGAGATTTATAGGTTTCTTTGCTTAGCTGTTTCTTTTCTTTTCTTTGGTTTCTTTGTAATCCACATACGACTTTCTTTACACTTCTGACTTATTTCCATCAGCATACTCTCCCCCAGTTCCATCCATGTTATCCCATTCTGTATATATACTACATCATCTTAATCCACTCATCTGACCTTGGGTACCTGGTTGCTTTCATAACTTGCTTATTCTAAACAGTTCTTCAATGAACATACGAGTATACGTATATACCTTCCAATTAGTGTTTTTGTATTCTTCAAATAGATACCTAGGAAGGAATTGTTGAGTCATATGGCACATCCATTTCTAATAATTTGAGAAACCTCCATACTGCTTTTCATTGTGGCTGGACCAGTTTATATTCCCACCAAAAATGTACAAGTGTTCCATTTTCTCCATATGTTCACCAATATTTTTTTTTTGTTCTGATCTTTATATGGGCCATTTTCAGAGATGGCATCTCATTATGGCTTTGATTTGCAGTTCCCTAATGATAAGTGATGATGAATATTTTCTTTCTCATGTGCTAGCTGGCCATCTGTATATCTTTTTTTTTTTTTTTTGGAGAAGTGTCTATTTAGCTCTTCTGCCCATATTTTGATTGGGGGTTTGTTTTGTTTTTTTGCTGACTTATATGAGTTCTTTGTAGATTTTAGCTGCTAGTGCAATGTGTGATGCACACATATTCTCTTCCTTTGACTAGGGTGTCTTTTTGATTTAATGATAGTTTATTTTGCTGTACAGAAGCTCTTTTTAGTTTGATATAGTCCCATATGTTTATTATTTTTGCCCGTGCATTCCTCATTGGAGTAGAGTCCCTAAAGCATCTCTGCAGTCAGTGTTGCAGATTGTTGTGCCTGTTTTCATCTGTGAAATTTATTTTTCTGGTTTAACATCAAGTCTTTAATTCATTTTGAGTTTGTTTTTTGTTTTTGTTTTTGTTTTTATAGTGGTCTGGTTTAATTCTTTTGCCTGTGGCTGTCCTGTTTTCTGAATACCATTTGTTGAAGAAAATATCCTTTCTTCAATTTTATATTCTTGTTCCATTGTCATAAATTAACTGTTCATATGACTATGGATTTATTTCTGGGTTCTCAATTCTTTTCCATTGATCTATGTGTCTACTTTTATTCCAGTGCCAAACTGTTTTGATTACTACAGCTTTGTAGAATGCGTGAAGCCTGAAGTGTGAAATATTCATTCTTTTTGTCAAAACTGCTTTTGTATTCGGGGTCTTTTGTAGTTCCATATAAATTTAAGCAATGTTTGCTCTTTTCTTTGAAGAATAAAATTAAAACTTGGATAGGGACTGCATTAAATCTGTATAATTGCTTTGGATAAGATGAGCATTTTTACAATGCTAATTCTTCCAATCCATGAGATATAATAAAACATTTGGCCATTATAAGTAAAAATATTTAGAAATTGAAAAAGATACCTAAGATATGTTGTAGTTTTACGGCATTAAAAACACAATTGTTGTATCAATAGTGTACATTTTTTAAATATTGTTCAGATGTTCCTGAAATATTTGATTGAAATGTTTTATTAAAAAATTTATTAAAAATAAAAAATATTTGTTAATCAAATAATAGGTAATAGGTATAATATAGGTAACAAAATTTTCAATCTGATAGAATTAAGTAACAGCTATTCCTTGATTTTGCTTTCTAATACAATGCCTATAACTGGAATTCAGTTATGAGGAAGAGTTTTCAAGAACTACTAAATTAAATTGACCTCCAATTCCTATCATCCTGATTATAGTAATTTGCTACCTGCATCACTGATTAAGTATTTTCTTTATAGTCAGAAAACGTCCTTTAGTTTGTTCATCCTTTGCCCATTAAACACTTGTCTTTATTTGAAATTTGGGGCTACTGACATCTTTTAAGGTGGTGGTGTAAAACATAAATACAGGTTTTGAGTCTCATGGTTTGATTGGTGTCTCAGATTCGTTTCCCCAATTATATAGTTTGTGATCTACAGTACATCAGTATATAATAATGTTCTGTTTTACATGATTTACAAGATTCAAAGAGATAAAATATTGAACTATGCTACATAACTTAGACTATTCTATTTCCCTTCACCTAAATAACTTACAGAATAATGTAATTTTGATAATCTCAACAGTGACATTAAGTTCAGTGCTGTCAATAATTACTTTTCCAAGTTTGTAAGCATTTGAAGTATTTTTATTAATCTTTGATATGTATAGCTATGTGATTGCTTTTCTTTGTTGTTCTTGCTTTTTATACATCTTACCTATTCCTTGTTCATAATAAAATTTCTGTCTCAAAGAAAATATTGAAAGATGTAGAAATAAGGGTTTTATTTTTAAAATGACCTTACTCTATTAGTATCATTGATTTTACTATTTATCTAACAATAAAGATTTTTGGATGGCAAGCTACTCGATATCAATAAAGACTTTCAACCACATTATGGGGAAGGAGGACGCATTCTAGAGATCCGGACTCCAGAGGCAGTGACCAGCATTAAAAAGCGAGGAGAAAGTCTAGGATACACAGAAGGGGCCTTGCTGGCTCTGGCCTTCATCATCATCCTCTGCTGCATTCCTGCAATCTTGGTGGTGTTGGTCAGCTACAGACAGTAAGTATTCATAGATGCTAAACATGGATAGTTCTTCAAGAAGGCATTATCAAAACCATCTCTGATGAAATGACTTTGTAGTTATAAAATGTTGATGGTGAAACCCCTCTACAATTGTTGGCTCCCTTTTGCATCAAGTGGTCTTCCTTTAAGAGACAGAAATACAAATATCCAGACATTTTTCACAGATTACTCAGTGTTCCAGCACAGATTCTTAATACATACATACCCAATAGGAGTACTGGATTGCCTTCTGTGGCTTTGTCTATGTTCTTCATCATGTAAAAAGCCTTGCGAGAGAAGGTAATAGAGTGCCTACCTTCTTCCCTCCTTCCCTCTTGCCTTCTCGCACAGCTTTTCTGGGTGGCCTTTCTAGAGGCTGTATTGTTACATCTGACAGCATATTTGGGTTGTATAGGATTAAATTTTTCTGGTTTCTACAAGCAAATACATACATTTAAAATATATATATATATATTTAAAAAAATGGGTTCTTCAAAATAATAACATAATTACAGCTAATTTAAACATTTGTATATGAGGTAGGCTGGTACATTATTCATTGATACCAGGTATGGGAAACCTTTGTGACAGAGAGCTACACATTTTGAGTATATCGCTGCTGACAGTGATTGGTGAAAAAATTGGAGAATTAGTTAAGGTGAGAGGTACCCCTGAGGCTGCCAGAAAATGAAAATAAATAACAGAAAGGAATCATAGGGTCCTCCCTGGTGGTGCAAGGTGTTATAGTGTCAGCACTATCAAGCAATCCACAGCTACTGCAGCATGAGTTCGATCTCCAACCTGGGAGGTGACCCAAATGGTGCAGCAGACCTCTGCTGTCTTGCCTGCTGATCCCCTTAGCAGTGTATTTCAGTCAATCTGCCTGTTCTGTTCCCACTCTGTCTCTCTGGTGAATCCTCTCACATACCTCCACACCTCTGGCCTGTACCCCAGTTCTTATATGCATAAATAAATCTTAAAGAAAGGAATCATAAATCATAATTGCTTGACATAACAAACCCTAATAAAAATCGTAACTTTCTATGCATCATTTTGAAATACCAATAGGAAAAGTCTATAATAGTTGATATATATTCTTAAACTGCTATCTTTGCTCTCTAATACTGAGAATATTATTTTATTAAATAAGGTAAGGTAATTCCCACCTTAGGTTGAACAGTATGCTTTGCATGAAAATTCTATAGGAATATTTTCTATTACAAAAACAATATGAAGTTGTAAATGTAACACTTAAGCTGGTATTTTGGAATTCAGAGTGTCCTTACCAGATCAATTGATACGCCAAATCTAAAGCCTGTGAGAAAACGCATGCTAGATAAATCGTTTTAAAATTTTGTCATCAACTCAATATTAATTTTCGTGCTAAATTGAACTTGTATAGCAATATTCTTTCCCTTTCATCAGTTTCCCAAGGAAGCTTTATTATATCCTGTTAACAAAAATATCAGTGAGAAGACTTGTATTTGGCACACAATGCAATGGCCAAAACTGAAGCACCCTGCATGTTAAACTCAGTGGACCCGTAATTTAGCGAAATAAGATGCTTACTATTTAAACATTTTGTAGTCACAGTATTTAATTATTTTTAGTTTAGTAATCAGCTAAGCACTATGAATTAATTTTAGTTACTTTTCTTATAGATTAACAAAACTAAGCAAAATGAGTTTTATACTGCTTATACTTCAAAAAATTTTCTAAATATTTAAAATCTTATTTTGTACCTTCATATTCTGCTTATAAATAAGATCTGAATTTTGCACTTTCTTTTATATTAAATGTATCTCTGAAATTTTCTACTCATAGACACCTAAAAGGCAAATGTGAAGAGTGTCATGGATTCATTACCATGGAATGGCACCTTCCAGTTCTAGCTCCAGCTACAAAGTGGGGGCAAAGTCTAATCACGCTTGCTGCCTGGTTCCATTCCTTTAATATTATTCAGGCACAGTAAATCAAGAAGCCACTTATAAAGATCAGATCATCTTTAATATTCTGCTTCTCTATCAGAGTTGAAATTCACATATACATGTTTTAATCCAGTTTTTCTTATTCCATTTAGTAGGTTTCTTTGTTTTCCTGTAATAAATGTTTTAACAGCTTGTATGACTATGACAGTAATAATTATGTGCTCACCATTTTCACTTTCTAAATTAAAACAGCTTCCCTTTTATGTCATTAAGTCTGTCATTATGTGTTTAACCAGGAAATTATTCATAATTTAGAATAAATCATATTTTATAATATTATGAACTCAATATTTCTAATGTAGTTTTCTCTTTTCTTACTCAATGCTTTCCTAAACAGGTTTAAAGTGTAAGTATAATTATTAATATTTTGTACGTAATGTTAGGTAATATGAAAATTTAAAAATCCAGATAATACTGTAATGTAGTCATCCTGCTCAGAACCATGTATCATTTGTCTGTTTTGTATTTTCCAGAGGTGCAGACATTTTAGTTCAAATCCCCCATCAGTTTTCTAAACAGACTTTAACTGGTTTTACACAATTTGATACAAGTGGAGGAAATTTGGAAAACACAGTTGCTCTGATAGCTGCCACCTTTTAAGATCTTGGTTTTGAGGATGGAATTATCAGTTAGTGTCCAGAACATTCAAAAACAGCAGCCTAGATCTAATATAAGAATCATTCCTAGGAATCAAAAGGAAGTAAAGGCTAACCAAATCACCCCCGAGCATGCACAGCTGTATAGCATCATTAAGCTATTCTCAAAAAAATGTTATAATTTTAAGTAAAATAACTTTCTTTAAATAGACCAAAGACAAATAATAAAGGAAAGTTATGTACCTTCCATCTGTCTGACATTACAAAAGATATACACTGAACAACTACCAATTATCAATCACAATTTCCCATTCTTCTCCCACTAATAGTATCATTTAACTTAATTTGCAAATGTTTCTACTTAATTTTCCGGCTATTCAAAGGCAGATATTTTAAAGTAGTAAGGTTACATGTGTTAAGGACAGGGGAAAGGTATAGGTAGTGGGGGAAAGGTATAGGCAATGAAACCCCATTAGTGCACTATTTCATTAGATATCAGTTTGTAAGTTCAAATTACTTCTGTAAATGATTTTTAGCGTAGGTTCTTCCCATAACTACATTAGTATTAAAAGACAGGCTATTGGTCAGCATTCTATTTCTAAACTGAGTTTTACAAAACATCCTTACTTTATCAAAGACGCCAAGCTGAGTGCACCAAGACAGCACGAATCCAATCTGCACTACCAGCAGCTAAACCAGCAGCACCAGTCCCTGCACCAGTGGCCGCGCCCCCGCCACCCCCACCGCCTCCGGGTGCGCATCTCTATGAAGAACTTGGGGACAGCACAATGTAAGTAGATCTTTCGGGAACTCTGAGAAGTAGATGGGTTTTTATGGATGTTAGGTGAGTATTTAATTTCAGCCTGATTAGAAATGCAGTTTGTGAGTCTTACTTTTTATCGTTTGTGAGCCTTTACTTTTATTTAAGGCAGAAAATTAAGATGAGATCCTAAGAAAGGCTAAATTGAAAAGTAATAATCGGGCCTCCCCGGTGGCGCAGCAGTTGAGCGCTGGGTTGAGAAGCTGCCTGCAGCCTCTGCAACGCTGGTTAGATCCCTGGCTGCTCCCCGGCCACCGGAGAAGGGTCCCACATGGCGCGCAGACCTCTCCTGCCGCCCGCTGCTCCCCTCAGCAGTGTACTTTGGTCCTTCTGCCTGCTCTGCTCCCCGCTCTGGCTCTGATGAATTCTCTCATCCTCCCGCGCTTCTGACTGTACCCAGTGCTTGTATAAATAAATAAATAAATCTTTGGGGAAAAAAAAATAGATTTGTTAAAAAAAAGAAAAGTAATAAAAAAAGCATTAAAAAATAAAAGAACAGCATTTAACTTAAGGAGACAATTTCAAATGAATTAAAATATTTAATCTTTGAATTGATTAATTCAAATGAATCGAATATTGTATTTCATCTTTGACTAAGAATCATGCAGATATCTCCCCACTCCCCACCCAAATTAACAATAGCTTCTGTTCCCTGCCACCCCAAATTAAGATAATAAAACAAAAACATAAAATAGTACTTTCTGATTTGGTATCAAAATCCATTCATATTTGGTTACAAAATTTTTTTATCTAAAATTATATACTTTTCTAATATTTTAGTGTCTCATAAAATAGAATTAAAATCTGAATGAGTTGAAAGAAAATATTAAATACATTACCACTTAGAGAATATTCCTTTTATATATTCTCCTCAGAATTCTGTGATACTGTTATAGGGCAGCCCCGATATTGAACAGGTTGCCTGGGTGAGGGTCCTCACCCGGACGCTTACAAGGGACTTATTAATACTCCACTACAGACACACACAAGAGGTTAATAAAAGGTTTATTTACAAGGGAAAAGGAAATAAGGAAAATGTACAACTCAGGGAGAAAATAGGGAAATAAAGTCTTTAATGTGTCCTACCCGGACATCCTTTCCCCCCTAACAATACCTTAATATTTTTCCTATACTATTTGGAATTCTAAGCAATATTAATACATTTTTGAAAGACTTTGTTAAAAAGATTTAGAGCTATTTCTATCATTATACTACCCTCATAACCTGATATTTAACTTGTCTTTGTTTTAAAAAATCAAGAGTAACTGCTTCTGAAGATGAAATGCAAAACAACCAAGGACACAATTTGAGTATGATTAAACTTAATCCCAGAAAACTTTTATTAACTGGAATTAGGTGGAGTTGAGGGACTAAACATGTTTTACTATGTAACATTATAGTATTTACTAGTAGGAATAAAGCAAGCCACAAAAGTATCAAATTTATCTTTCAATGGGCAATTGATTGTAAACATAAACCAATACTGTTTGCTTTATTAATAATTGAACAATTTCTTATTTTAAGAATAGTTTTTAAAATGTTAAAATTGATTTTGATGTCATTTTAATGCTAAAATGTAATTTAAAAGTTGGATGTTTGACATTCTAAGACAACATACATGATTCATTTAAACAGTGTTATTTTTTCATAAATTGAAAATTATGGTCTCCTCTTGAATTATGGGTGAATGTAGGAATTGAGCCAATATGATTTGATTTTATGTTAACCACCTCTCTCCAGCAAAAGTATTTAAAGCCAAAATATTATGTGTAAAGGTAAGTGTTTTTATATATGTAATTAGACATGGGTGTATATTCATTTTTATTTATCAAAAGGTAAACTGTATCATCTGGAATCAGCATAATTTGATGGCAATAATTTCCAAATAGCTGCACTTTAGTTTATTTTTATTAGAAAAAAATGTGGTAGACCGAGAAGAGTTATTGTAATGATTGTATGTTTTTATTGAAATATTTTAACTTCTACATCTAATTTTCTAATGTTTAACTTTTCTATTCAAAAACTTTTAGAAGTATTCTAATCATAGGTTACTAGTAATTATACTCACTCCAAATGAATTATTATGTATTTCTAAAAGAAAAAAATTCAGAGTTCATTTTGACAAATGAATAACTTCATATAGATTCAACAATTATTCTCTAATAGTTATTAATAATATTTGTGTATTTACCTTCTTCTAAATAATACTTATATCTACTTATAATCAATGTAAAACAATTTTGTAGACAAGACATAGAAGTAATTCTTATAATCTCACATAAAATGCTTTAGGTTTGAAGTGACCCATGTTTAATAGAGATGAATGTACCAATGTATACGAATATCAGATTAATTTTATGTGATACAAAACCATACTAATGCCATGTGATTCTACCTAAAACTTGATTACATACTGTTCTTATGAGTCAATATAAAGAAAGTATATAAATATGCATTTTCATTTTTTGGATATGCATATAAACTGTATAATCAAGTTCCTATTGTATTTTCATAACCATCCAAATTAACTATAGTCAAAACTTTTTTTTCCTATCACATGTTTTCTCTTTCTCACCTGTGGATACATAGGCATAAGTAAGTAAATAATATTTTAATACAAGGGCTTTGAAAACAAAAGTTTCAATAGACTAAATGTTTCATTTTGTTTTTAACTTTAAAAACAGTAATTGTCATTCTTTACCTTGGAGTCATTTACTTTAAAAAAGAATGTTTTGTCTTCTACACCTCATTTTCTTTTTGCTATTTTAAAATAGCTTGATTTTAAAACAAGTATTCCAGTTGATATACCTGTTCCTGCCTACAAGAGTTTCAAAATTCTCATTTTATAGTGTTACAATATTTATAGATATCTTTCAATCAAAAAATGATGTAGTATCAACATCAGATCTAGTCAGAAACATTTGCCATATAATGTCAAGTCCATTTGAAAAAAAAAAGCCTTTTTGAGATCAGGAAGAATGTTTGCTGTCACTGAATCCAAATTTCCTTTACTTTCTGAATTATTTAGGTAGGCCTGATACCCCAAGTTCACCTCTAGCAGCTTATGTCTTTGCCAAATGACACAATAGAAACTTTTGCTTTATATATCAATTTATTGCTCCACTGTCATCCTAAGTTTTCAAATTAGTTATTTAAATTTTATTCAAAATACTTTTTATTTCATTTCTACTGTGTGGGTAAATATTAAACAATAATAAAATTAAATCTGTTACTCTGAGCTTGAGAGCCATCTATTAAGAAACTGTTCAAAATCATGTCATCCAACTTTTCCGGGGTTAGGGTCCCAATGCATCAATTAGCACTGTTTGTGCCCTTTGACTTATTAAATTCTATTTATAACTCATAGCCAGTATGATTTGGTGTCCATTGTATGAACAAATTTTTACTGATATCAAAACTGTATTACTGTAACAGAAATCTTATTGAATCTTGACTAAAATTGATCCAGATCATATTCAAGGAACTATCAATAGCTCCCTTTCTTATTTGTATAATTTATAATCTTTTAAATTTGATTAAACCTAAAATTGTAATAGAATAATCTCTGTGAACATTCTGAGGAAAACTCCAGTTCTTAATTGTGATTTCAAACTCAATTCAAGAAATTCTTCCACTTAGACTCATGAACTTTAATTCTCTTAATTTGAGGAATAGAAAATCCTTTTCTGTATTCTCTTGCAAGCATTATCCTAGATAAGAGAGTACTTTTAGTTCAAAGACAGAATTAATGAAATGAAAGGTAATGAACAGGTACTGAATCCAATAGAACTAAGGATTGTTTAGCCAAAACAGTCACATCTGTGCATCTTCAATGAAGGCAGAGAATCTGAAATCATTAGTCATAATGCTTGGTGTAATTTGGAGAATTGTGATTTATACATCAGAGAACTGTTATGTGTAGTCAAGAATTCTTTGTTGTGTCAAGCTAGCTGGGAAAAAACAGTGAATAGATTGACACATTAAAAAAAAAAAAACAACTGAAAAATTTCCATACTATTCACAACTCGAATTTTTCCTATCCTGATTTTTGGAGAACAGGGACATAAAAGTAATATCTTGCTTCAGTTCATTAGTATTATTTGTTTGATCTTTTATTGTTTGAAGAAGTAATGAGAATCATAAAAAAAAAATCTTTCTCATGAAAGTTGTGTCACAAGCTGTTTCCTTACATTTCATTATCTTCTTTTCTTTCAAGTCTTTTCCTTCTCTACCATTTCCAACAAAGCAGGGGAAATAAGTCTTTCTCAGAAGACAGGAAACATCAGCACGTTGCGATGCCCTTTTCTTCCAATACTATTGAGGCTCACAAGCAGGCTCAGATAGATGGATCATTTAAGAACAATCAGCCCACGTCTGCAGGAAACTTCACACTGCTTTCAGAGGAGGACAACTTAAATAGTCACAATACCCTTTATAAGGAAAATGTAGATAAAAGATCAAGAAATGTTGACTTTTCAATAAGAACAGATTTTGTAGACTCATTTTTACATAAAACACAAGCCAAGAATGAGTCTCTGAGCGACCCAAGAGAAAAGATTCAGAGTATATGGAATCAACCAATATCCTTACCTAAAAGATCAAGGTGGAAGTTCCCTAACAGCCCAGAAACCATAGATCTGGAGAAATGGGGAAGCAACAGGCAGAAAATCAAAAGTGAAAGCTCTGGCATTTGTCCAAACAAAGGAGGTAGCAGTAATCCCTTGTTTACAACTGAAGATGTACATTTTACAGAGAAAGAGGAAATAAGACAAGGTGAATCACTGATTATACAAGGAACAGAACAAGTGAAATCTCTGTCTTCAGCTTCATTTTCCTCTCCTTGGTCTCATTCCTCATTCTCCACTTTGCCAACTGTTTCAAGAACTGTGGAACTCAAATCAAAATCCAGTATCATTTCTCCTGATGACTGTTCCTTGGAACTTTCTCCTTCAATGCCTTGCATTTTAAAATCTTCACTCTTTAGGAGAGAGAAGCCTACTCATGTGTTGACTGTGGAAACCAAAAGGAACATTTTTGAAAATAGCTCCCATCCACCCAGTATTTCTCTGCCTCCTCCATTTCCTCCTCCTCTTCCTCCTCCTCCTCCTCCTGCTAATACTGCACTTACTCCTGCTCTTTCCTGTCTTAATCCTTCCCCCTCTACTCTTCCTCCTCTTCCACTTCACTCAGTTTCTGTTCCTCATCCTCCCACTGCTTCTGCACCTTTCCTTCATTCATGTCCCTCTCTCCCTCCACTTCCTTCCCCTCTGCCTCCTTCAACTTCAGTTACATCCAGTAAGTGTGATTGCCTACCAGTTGTTAAAGGCACTGTCAATGTGACATCTGCCAAGGAAATGAAATCTTCTATGATACAGCAATCAACATCAACAACTATCTGTAATACAGATCCTCAAAGAGAACCGAAAGGCATTCTCAAACATATTAAAAACTTAGCAGAACTTGAAAAATCAGTAGCTAATATGTACAGTCAAATTGAAAAAAATTATCCACCCACACACAGCTCCAAACCTCAAACTAGTCCTTCAGAGATAATAAATATGGAAATGACATCTGAACAAAACCGGGAGAATTTGCACAATATTGTCGAGGAGATTGAGAAACAATCTCAAAGTCAATCTACTTCACTGTAATGTTGCTCCTATTTTAATTGGACCACTCTTGTTAACCATAATCTTCAAGTGAAGGCAAATTTGAACTTTAAAGAAGATTCCATTCTTTTATCCTAAACTCAATGCAATGGTGTTTTCTCATTTTTAAGTTAAAAGATTATTAACCTCATCATTACTAACTCATATTATAGATTTACCTTAATTTTCTTAACTACGAAGTAGCATTATTTATCTACATTAATATAAAAAGTAAGTAATTTCAATCTATTTTTCAATGGGAATATATGGGCATGAAAGTTAGATATTCAAATTAAAGTAATGACTTATTTAACATGTTAATGCTTGATTTTACATTTACTTTTTGATCAGTTTTATATGTGTACTCAAGGAAAAAGGCATACTATTATAAATAGACTAAAATTTGTTTCATAGAATCTGTTATTTCCGTGAAGCCCATATATTTGGTAAGAAGAAATACTACCAAAGTAAAATGTTGTGTATCTAGAACTGTAGGACATCACAGACAAAATGATATTCCAAAGTAAATGCTAGGTACTATAAGATGCAGTCATCTGTTTTCTTATAAGAACATCTTTTACTCTGGCTTGCTTTTATCTTACTAGTATGTTTATACATTTGATAAATCTTTTACTTTTTTCAATTGCTGTCTTCTATTTATTTCTCATTGTGCGTTCCTTTCCCTTCTTTATAATGAAATAAATCTTGAGTTGTTGACTTTTGTAAGACATTTCATTGTTCCCACAAATGTTTAAAGTACTATTTAGTTTTGCTTGTCCATATTATTATATCATCTCCTTAGTTATACTTTTATCATAAGATTCTGCTTTGAAGAAAATATCTCCAGTTTTATAGAGAAATCCTAATCAGTTTCATCAAATGAAAGTCAAGTAAATCTCCACTAACATTTGGTATGGATTTGGTAACTACTATTTGATTGAAGAAAATTATACATATTTTATATAATTTATTAGTAATATAAAACATGTTTCATCAAAATTTTACAAAAGTGCATGATTTATTTTATTTCTAGTTACTTTTAATCTCTGTAGTCATCCAAATTTAGCCTACTATATAAGTTAAATATAAAAATATTAAGAAAAAATCAAGAGGGAATATATTTGGTGAAGTGGCATCATTTTTAAATAGACCTAATTTATTTTAGGCAAAGATGGATAATTTTTTACTATAGGAATAAATTTCTGTAGTTGAAAATGTTCTCATTATCTAGAGCTCAACTTATTAAATTCTTAATTCTTAAAATAATTCAATTAATTCCAGTCTTCTTTGTGAAAGCTACACTTGACTATCAGTTATTACTTATACCCCCCACCCTAACATATGTAATATGTCTTATGTACTGGAAATTCCTATTTTGAATATAAGTATAATTATTTATTTTGCTCTGCAATTTTAATATTTTAGAAAGTACGTCTACACAGAAAAATGCACGATTCCCAAATATAAGCAAAATATTGCTTGATAATTGCTGTTACAAGTATATAAATACAGGTACAGGGCTGTACAGTGCATCATTTCAAACGTTTTGTTCAGCTCTTATTTTACATAACATTTCTTCAAGAATATGGTCTTGCATTCCTAACTAAAAATATGTGATAAAAGGCAATCTGTAAATCAGATTATTTTCATTAGCACCTCTGCTTCTGATTCTTTTCATCCAAATCAAGAGTGATTTGTTTCTTGGGATTCTTGAAAATGATTTTTTTCTCTCTTTCACTGAAAAACTTCAGTTGGAGTTTTTGTTGGCAGCTGGTCATATGCATGAGAGCTTGTGCTATTTGGCGGACTCTGACAAGGTATTATTCAATTGTGTAAGCCTTTAATGTTAGTATGTGTGTTTTTTAAGCTATTTGTACCAACTTTTTGGAAATGTGAAAGAAATTCCTTAAAATTTCTTGATTATGAAATCACTAGTGACCAAAGAAATGATACATGAAATTCAGATAACATTTTATGTAGGCACCTATAGTCTCAACTAAATCATTACACTGCATATTTCTGTAACACTTTTGTAAAACAATTGTCCATTGGTATCTGCAAACTATCAGTTCTAAGACCCCTTAGGGCTACCAAAATCAGCAGCTTCTCATATTCCTTATATAAAATGGCATAGTATTGGCATATAACTTTAATACATCCTCCCATATAAAGTAAAATCATCTATAAATGACTGATAATCTGTATTATCAATATACATGCTATGTAAAGTGCTGTATGTTTAGGGAATAATGACAAAGGGAAAAGTCTACATGTTCAGTACAGACACAACTTTTGTAATTTTATCAATAAGTTATTTTTTTTTATTGTGGTTGATTGAATCAGTGGATGCAGGCCCTATTGGATACTTAAGGTTTACTCTATTTGTATTATCTAAAAATTCTATTAGTATTTTGCTCTTTTGAAATGAAACATCTATGCCCATAATTTATACTTATCTAGTCTTACTGACACATCTTATTTAGAGATTCACAGCTTCATCATTAAAGTCAATTAGAATATTTTCTGTGAGACTTATAAATTTCCTGGGAGTACAAAACCCATTATTATTCTCCACTAATTATATTTCAATTAGTACATAAGGAATTATTAGAATCTTCAAATGAAGACATAAAGATGTTACCATACATTTTCCTTATTTTTTTAAAAACTGTAAATCATGCAAATGATGTAAAATGATTAATGTACATCATGAATAAGCTACATAAAATATGCATCAATATTATCTGACTGGTTTTATAAGAATCAATGGGAAGTTATGTTAATCAAAAGCACACAAATAATCATACATAACTGTTCTGTTGTATACCAGTTCTCAGTCAATTTTTGCCTGTGAGTTAAGACACACAATGCAAATAATCAAATGAAAGGCAGCAAAAATTCTAATGGAAACAGTATCATTCATCTATTGATGGTAGATATTTCTCACATTTATGGAAAATATTGCTAATGAGACAGTTTAAATACCCTAGAAAATGAAGTCAAGCTGTGCTTGGACATTATGTGACTCGATTGTCATTATTTAAACCTAAATACAAGGTATATATAATTTATCTCTCAAACACACAGACTGAATAAAAGTTGAAAATGACTAAACTTCTCTAGATGGATTATCATTGCCATAATTATTGGCAAAATTATATAAGCACTTTGCAAAACTCACCACAGAACCATTTAAAATAATGAGTTGCTGACAGGATTAAGAGAGCATTATATTAGCATTATTGGCAACCATTTCAATAGACAATGCCTCAACCACTTAAGATGCTTTCAGTTAAGTAAACTTACCTTGTGAAGGCCTTGCAATTTTTTTTTAAATATTTTTTATTGGATTTTAGGAAATTATATATCTCTACATTGCAGTTGTCTACTAGTTTAATATTAATAGTTGTCTAACTAGTTTAATATTAATATTTTAAGGCAACTGAAGAATAATAAGTAAAAAATCCTCATAACTGGAGACATGAAACATAAAAAGCATTCTATACTTTTCACATGCTCAAATACAGTCAAATGTTTAAAAAATTTGTCATCCATGGCCTTTATAATTCTTTGTGATATTAAACATTTGGTTATTATATATTTAAAATATTTTCACTTTCTTTTATAATGCATATGACCCTTAAATCTAATCAATATTTTGCATTATTTTTAGAACACAGAAAAATCATCTCAGAAACATTTGGAAGGATATTCTAGTTATACATTTTTATCCTGTACCAATATATTTTGCAGATGAAACATCTTTCTCCTAAATGACTATCACGACTAATCTAGTACAAAGATGATGCAGATTAATTTTCACCCCGTTAACCATAATAGAGTCAAAGTTTATTACTGTACATCATTGAGATAAAATATGTTGTGAATGGTTTGTTGCTCATATGGAGTGAAAATATAGGGTGAATTTTGCTTTTTGTAATGCAGGCATGAAACTGATTGTCCTGTCTTGATACTGCCATAAAATATATTTTTTGCTGAGGTAATTTTTAGGAGAAATGACTTAAGTTTTTCCTCAGACATTTAAAACACTCTTAAGTTTTATTTAATCTGAAAAGCTAAGATGTTTAATACTGATTTCTTCATTTCTGCTTTGCAGGAGAGGTTATGCATCAGAGGTAAGGGTTTTATGGTGTTATATACAACTTATTAGGAAAATATTTATGTTATACGCAGGACTAATTTATAGTATTTCAAAGCTAGGTTATTTTCTTCCATTTCAACAAAACTAAAAGTGCCATGCCATTTTTTTTCCTATTTGTTGCCTCTGTGTCTTGGGGTTTTAAGTATATTGTTTAGTAGGTGAGCAAAGATTAATTGCTTACCTTTTCAAATATAATTTTTTGCTGAATTAATATTAATATTATCATATTCTCCCAAATTTATTTGTCTTGGGCTGTAATAACATGTAGGAGTTGTGAACTTTTGTTGTTGTTTTAACCAGTACAATTCATCATCCTCTCACTTAAGGGCTTGATGTCTTAAAGAGAAAAATATCAGAAAGTTCTGACTTTCCTATGTGTGAATTTGGTTCTCAATCTGCAGTGAACATAACAGGCATTATGGTTAGTGATTTGGCCACACTGCCACTGGTGCTATCAATGAAGTTACCACCTATTATGGTTTAGAATACAACTTCTCGCTTAAGAGAACAAAATTAGCATAAGACCTAATTGACTATGAGTTTAGAATACATAAATCCTAAATTATTTAGATATCAAGATAAAAGTCTTTAAGAATGAATGGTTCGCAGGGAATTACAATAGCTAACAGACTGAATTAATCTGACTTGAGCTGCCTACACCTTTAAATGGATATGTAACTAATTCACTAACATTAGTGTGGTGAAAGTGCCCTCTTCACTCAGTTTATCGGTCATTTCAAACAACTGGTTTATTGGTGAAATCATTTCCCAGAAATTCTCTGTCCACCTTACCACAGCTTAATTTAAGATTGGTCTTATATAACTATTGTCCTTCAAAGAG